AGCCTTGCTTTCCCAAAAGACGCTCTTAACCTTCGATCTCGCCTATGTCTTATCAACAACCTCCGTGGGACTCGAACCATGAAAGTTCAGCGTATAATCTCAACACGTTCCGCTGGGGGTGTTGACAAGACATATAGAAGGTCGAAACCGCAGTTTAGCACATTTTTGGAAAGCAGGGCTAGTTGACATTCAATGGAAATGTACCATACCGTTATGGAAAAACTAAACTTCTTGTCCTTCATCACCTTAAATGAAATATAGTAAGCACAAATCATATATCTCTACTCTTTCTCAATCTGGTGCCATGTCGCCAAAAGTCATTTCACTTTGACCAATCGAAGCATCTCTTCACACACCAAACGAGAGCTATTCCAACCTCATTCCGGATTCAAGTCCCAGTCGAGGTGGAATCTGCCGTTTGCTCCACTTTTGAGCGAAAAGTCGTAGCGAATTTCCCTTCCATCCTGAAGCCTACTCATACAATTGTGGGCAAATTGAACTCTCGGAGATGTGATTTCCATGCGACAAGTTGGAGTGTGATTTTGTGATGATGTGCATCGATTGTCTGTATGCTCCATCGGTGACAGCCAATTAAAACACACATACATTGTCCGACTCTTTGCCTCCCAGCAACCGATGCTGGGCGTGACTGGTGGTCTGGCGGGATATTGCCGTTTCCTGCTGCCTCACACCAAATGGGACATACGAACTGCCGATTGGTCGAGACAGCAGTTGGAGGGGAGCAGAAGGATTTGCGGCCAACCCAGTCGTCCGGTCACCCTCGAGGTCGTCAGACGCACGATAGCGTCGTGCCGACAACGCGTATGGCTGCCCATAGTTGCTTTCGACCACGTGTCGCCTCGAGGGAGAAAGCTCTTCTCAGGAGCATCACATGAGCCCATCGTCGGGGCTCATGGCTGGCCAATTCACTCGTCATGGCCTTCTTGCCCTCCTCGCCGTTGCCGTGCAATTCGCCTCTTTCGACTGCAACGGCGACGTCTACTCTCGCCTGAAGGCGGTTGCGTCCGGCGAGCCAGAAACCGGGCGGCCGCAGGCAGACGTGAGGGAGACGAGGGAAGTGGTAAGTAAACCTTGTCTTTCGCGTATGAGTAGGCTTTCCAGGCTGCCAGCAGATTCCGTAACCTACTTATAAACGAAATATAAGTAATATAGTTGATTTTTATTGCAAATTCAACTTTGCTCCATCGACAATCCCACTACAGAATGTGATATGTCATCAAAAAGCACTCGTACATTTTCATAGTTTGAGTCCCGCTGGGAGTTCTGATGAGTCCAGTAGACTTCGGTTTGTATGAGAACAACTTTCAGGCAGCAAGGCTGTGTGAAATTCAATGGGACCGTAAGATATGTGCATAGGATTGTGGAAAATTTCGTCGATCACCTCAAATGAAGTGGGGTGAATGCATCTCATTTATGAAACAATGTATGTTGCATTTTCTCGCAATGCTAGTGACGCACATTTGGCTTTCCCTTGACTTCACCTGGAACTTATTAGCACCATTGCGTAAATCAAGCCCGGCTACTAAAGTGGTCTGACCTCTTTTACGTAATGTGGCCATATTATCAGGTTCACATATTTGGACGCACCTTGTACGTATTCCTCTGTTGTAATAGACATGATAATTCCCAGCGTCAGACCATCGACTATCTACATTTGTAAACATTTTGCCAAAATCGTAGTTGGTATCATTGGTCAATTCTGCCTGTCTTATCACAATAATACAACTCTTCTAGGAGACAAGTGAAGTCAATCTTTTTGAGAAACTTTATGCAGAACGATTTTTTTATCGCTCTGAAGGAGTCGAATATAAACAAATCATAAGTTGCGATAGGGTGGGAGTGAGACACGAGAATGGGGATTAGATGGATGCGCCAAAAGTAAAAGAGGAGAATTGGCACAACTGTTCATGAGAAGATTGTATCAATGAGATGTATTCACCCAATTTCGTTTAAGGTGATGAAGGACTGGTCGAAGAAGAATTTTCCTACAATGATATGAGTTGAGCTGACGTTTTATTCAATTTCACAGAGCCTTGCTTTCCTAAAAGTTGTTCTCATCTATTCTCTCTGTTTTGGGACAGCAAGACTATGCGAAATTGAATGGAAACGTCAGCTCAACTCATATCATTGTGGGAAAATTCTTCTTCTACAAGACCTTTCTCACCTTAAACGAAATTGGTTGAATACATCTCCTATTACTGATTTACTGGTAGTCTCGAAACAATACTCAATGCGAAGAATTGACTTCACTTGTGGCTTTGACTATTTGTAGTTGGAAATGGTGCTGAGAATGGCAAGACTCATTGAAAATTCCATCTGAGATGACAATGAAACGTCCGGAAATTACCATAACTTCTGCAACAGG